ACAGGATGATTTGCGGGCACGTCTTAGGATGATCTAAAATATTTTAATGATTAGTTAATGGCTCAACGCAACGAATATTGTGTATTAAGAAGAGTCCTTGATGCTATGCCAAAAGCAAAGAACTGACTGACGAAGAATTACTACAAATAAAAATTGGATGTAAAAATATATTATCTACGTAGTAAAGTGAAAAACAAGTAGGTGTCTGATAGAAGTGAAGTTAAAATTGAGCCTCATCTAAGTGGAAGTATAATTCAAATTTACTTGCAACTAAATTCAGTACTTTACCAACTCAATAGGATAGAACCGGAGCTAAAAAATGCCACTGTCGCAAGTTGTGTAAATAAAATATAGTGGAATCTACTTAAAAATATCCTTATACTATAGTAAACGTACTGTGATTGATCATGATGAATTTATTGAGCGATAATTGATTAAATAAATTGTCAATAGCCTGAAGTGTCGGTAGTTTTGGATGTATGAATTCAGCTTTAAAGAATCGTATAATACAATATTGCGTGTACTTATACTAGGAACACTAACTAAATTAATTAAATAAGTCAAAAGATAAACAAACGACTTTACAGTTCCTCACAGAATAAAAAGCCATCAATAATAAAACATCTTGCCACAGCTGTGGAAAGAACTTAGTCACAACCAATATAAATTCCGCATTAATACTTATTTTTCGAAAAAAAGTGAAAAAAGCTTGGATATACAGCTTTCTTTAGGTATACGAATTAAAAGAAAACGGAACAAGTACTCACAAGATGGAAAAAATACGTAGAAACGGATCAACGAATGTATTATGAGTACGATACAATATCATAATCTCAAATTAGTAATAGTTCCATCTCGACCAAATAATGGTAAAGCTTTATGCTAACGACAGAAAGGCGTTACATTAAGAGTGCTCAAAAAATTCTTTCAAAAAAATCATAGATTACTACAAAACTATCACATTTCTCCAGTAATCAAGTGTTTAAATTTGGACCATTTCAGTATAACAGACAGACATACGTTAGTATTTGATTACCCATGTCTGAGCAGAAAGTAAATAGAGTAGAAACCAAAATAATGTCTGAGAACTAAGCGGTGTTATTAGCCCACACTCTGCTAAAATTTATTCATTTATTTAATTGCATATATTTCCTCAAGGACAAAGCGTCTGCGTTATTTTGTGATGGAATCCAGAACATAAAGGACACGAAAACAACGAACAGATGGAATCATCAAATGTGACACAAATCTTGTTGGTCTTTATAAGATATGAAACCAAAAAAAGAACCTAATGAGCGGTTAAAACAACTGGATTAGCATAATAGACCACCTGATTCAGTGTGTTCTTCATAATAATAAATGCAATCAACTACCTAACACCTGTCTCACACTAAGTCAAAACACTTCAATGGATTCTATATGCCATCATTAAAACATTTGAAAAAGTCTTGCTCTACTTACCTTATAATTAAAATTGGCGATCATTAAAAAAACCGTCTTAACTTTATATCTGTTATATCTGATCCTATTTGAAAGAGTTTTTGTGGTAATATCTTCGTAAAAGTGCTCCTCATAATTAGTAATACAATTGATCATATGCTATTGATTTGTAAAAAATTGATAAAGCAGTTTGAAACCCGACACTATAAAACTAAATAATAGGATAAACCATACAAATTGCAAACGAAGAGATTTACAAAATAATGAATCTGAACTATGTATATTGATATCATATACAAACTCAACTTGGCACTAAATTCACGTAGAATACACATCTACCCAAAAAAACTTTCACCAATCACACCAAAGTGATATTATTCAATAAAAAATCTGAAAATGAAGACTGCTACTTAAATCAACAAAATAACTCATATTAATATTATGGATGACTTAAATGCATACGAGCTAAAGATCTATTATGTTACAATTAACAAGTTTTTTCGAAGAACTTGATTGGATTTTTAATGTTACTTTTTTTGCCAAATGCAAAACAAGGAGTTTCTAGGTTTATCTAATTAAATTGATAATAGTTTTTAAGGAATGTTAGGTTAGGTTAGGTTATACCGGCGATCCCTGGTGGATCCACTTAGGTCTATTGGTTCATTGTGTTACCGTATGTGTAGGGTTTAAAACCGCCTAGAATCTTTAATGAAGCTCAAAATGCTGTTTAATGGCAGGTCTTGTAGTTGTTCAATATCCTCAAGAAAGGAAGCTCCTAGAGTCTTGAAGAGCCGCCGTACATGAGTTGAGCAAAAACATAGTAGATGGAAAGCACTCTCATCGTCTTCCCACATCGTCTTCCCACGTCTTCCCACAGCTGCGACAGATTTAATTGAAAGGAAGACCCAATCTTCTAGCATGGTTCTCTATTTTACAGTGACCTGTAAGTAAACCTACCAAAAGACCGATATCTCTCAGGGGTATCTCAATGAGAGTTTTGGATTTCCTTTTATCGGAACGTGGCCAGATTGCATACAGATGCCTTCATATCGTTGAGTCTTCCCATCTTTTATTAAAAATTTAGCACAGAAAGAACACAATAATGCCCAGATTACTTAGGTGTTCCTGGTGAGGTCCTGAAGCACTCTTTCTGGCTAGCTCGTCTACTCTGCAATTGCCCAAAAAATATCTCTATGATCGGGAACCCAGATTCTAGAAGTAGAAGTATTTAGCTGCGTCGACATTTCGTTTAGAGATGTGTGGCAGTCAAAAACCGTCCTAGATGTAAATTGGACTGAACTCAAAGATTTTAAAGTTAAGGACGAATGTTAAGAGGCTAATAATATAATTCTTATAAGTCAGAAATCCTAGAAAACGTATTTGGTACATTGTAATATATCTCCACATGCACAGTAATAACGGTGTTCGTGAAACATTTTTCTAATGAATTTTCAAATTTTTACGTCTTAGAAAAAACACTGCAACTCTGAAAAAATTAAAGTTATTGTATATAAACAATTTAAATGCTATTATTCATGAGTTTATAATATTAGGTGTTATTCCGGTTGCAAAACCTGCCATCATTCTTTAAACTACTTAGTTGTCTAACAATATTAAAAATGATCAATATCAAAAACAGCATAGATTTTAGGAATAACACAATAAAGATCAGAATCTCTTTTAACATCTCAATAAAATTATAAGATAGCATTAGAGTTTAAATTATAACGAAATTGATTTCACGATTATTGTTTCTTTCATCATTTTGTAAAGTCAATATTCTAACCTAATATGTGGAAATGTGTTAATGGCACAATACCCAGTTTAAGATCCAAAAAAGCCAGAGTTGCCTCAACTCTTACTTACTTGATTTACGATGAGTAACCCATTCATGGATTTCGTTGACACAGTTGTCCTGCCCAGACGCCTTCATGTGCGCCTTCTCTAGTTTCAGACATATATTTCTGTTATTATCTCCTCAACTTATGTACTTCTCTAACATCTATTCCTACGATTGCAGCCTAATACACCTTTTTACTAGAAAATCGTCATCTATCACCAAAGCAGCTAAGCCGCTGATATTAGTTAGTTCACTGAATAATATGTCTCATGAAACTTCGTACAGCTTATACTCCATTCATATGCGACAGTTTTTACGAAAAAGTATTTCTCTCGAGGACTTCTTGTCCATCATCAAAGACTTGTTCTGTGATAAACGAGCTGGAGTAGGTAAGTTTTGTAGATTGACAATGGTAATTATTCGACTGATCTTCTGTATGACATGGTAATTTTTTGTCTAGTATTCTGGCTCACATGGTAATTCTTCGTCTAGTATTTTGATTAACACAGTTGTTGGTTACTATAGTGCCAAGAGAGATTAAGTCCTAGACAAGTACGGAAGTGTAGTCACCAGCAACCAACGTATACTTTGTTTTGCCCTCATTCGCCAATAAACCCATTCTGTAAATTCCTTCACGATATCAGTTTTGGCAGTAATACCATCAGTATTACTATTCACTATGATATCGATGTCATCAGTGTTCTTGGCGATCCCTTATGGAGTTATCAAATACTATTTTATAGAGGTTATGTTCATGGTCTTTTACCAGGATTTATTGCAATGTAAATATCCGGTCAGAGGTGGAGCAAGAAGGTTTCTTACAGTAGCTAGGACCCTTCCGCGACGAATGAACTCGCAAAATTTTGTGCATTTTGAGAATAGAGCATTTTGGTATTCCAATCGTTGAGTATACTCTTACCTGACCATACTCTTCAAATGAGCTGATACATGTTCTCTATCAACACATTGCTGACAACCTATAGGCACATTGCACGTATACTATTTGCGTCTGCCGCCCTATTGTTATTCAATCGCTTTATAGCAACAAGCACTTCATTATGACTTAGTGATAAAACACCAAAACCATAATTTTTTTTGTATTTACATGTGTTTATCAACTACAAATTTTTTTAAAATCTTTTATTTGGCATATGTTTACTGATTTAGGCAATGATGCCAAGTTATTCATAAGCAACCAAAAGTTGTTCTATTGGAGCATGCATGTCAAAAGAATACATCTATTGTTGTTTTGTGTACATATAAACTACCTTAAGCGATCAACTTGTTTTTGCTACACTTTTGAGTTGCCGAACACACCCAATGTATATATCACCACTATCTAATAGCATTATATTTTTTGCCTAGTTAACATATATATTCTATCTAATATTTATTCCTCGTAAAACAAGCTAATGAAAGAATTAAATGTAATATAATTTTATTTACATTAGTACAATTATAAATCAATATTAAATATAAACTCTAATAACTTAATATATAATATAATATATATAATTAATATTAATATATATAAATAATATTTAATTTATAATAATTTAATGTAAATAATTTTTTTATTAATGGTTAAAACTTTTTTGACAAATCCGGTGTTATTTAAAACATATAAAATACATTTTTTAATTTTTGAAATAATTAGTACACTACAAAATAAGTTGCTCATAATATATAAATACTAATATTATTTTGAATATGGCAACTCTGAAATAATTTCTGTGTTTCATTTATCTGACGCGTATTTGTAGTGTGCAAATTTTGTTAAAAAAAGATATTAAAAATCGGTTTAAATTAAAATTTATATTTAAGTTCAAATAATTAATTTTGAGATGGTAAGTTTCTATATGTATTCCCTTTTCATTTAAATTTAATGAATGCAAATATCTGTACCCATTGGATACTCGAATTGTATCTGCAAGAAATGTCACCAAATTAGCTTGTTTTTTTTTTGTTTTTTAAGGGATCTAATGATAGAGAAACTCGGTCTTCACCTCGTGTTGATGAACCCCTAAGCGACAATATAATGCCAGCAAAAAGATCGCGTTCTGATTCAGGTATATATATTATACATGCAAGTATACCTTGTTTCTTATATATATATTAATATGTAGATGCTGTAATTAGGAATTTAATAATATTTTAAAGGAAATATCGTTTCAGTTTTTATTTTAAGCATTTCCATTGTTAAATATATATTAATAAATATAATATAATATAATAATATAATAGTACATAATAACTTTTAAAATATATCATTTTTTTTTATACAATTATTAGCCTAATAATCGGTTTTCTTTTTGTTCTGCTTAAGTAATTGCAGACACAAATGCATGATGATGTCAACGGTCAATATGGTAGAAAGTTCTGCATAACACATGCAAGTGCGTTGCATTGCAACAATCTTTAAAATAACTTAAAGCTATAAAACATCTGAATATCAGATAAAAAAATTAAACGTAAACGGTGATTAGTTTGTAAAAACAAGTACTTCGACAAACTGAAAACAAAAACAAAAACAGAAACAAAAACGACTGTTAATATGAATATGAATAAATTTAGAGTCCAGACGAGTATGTACGGAATAAAAAATAAATCTTGAACAAGATCTTAAAACCTCACATATATCTTGACAAGCACAATTCGATTGTTAATATGCATATGTTTTGAATAATGTGAGGATCATTAAGAAATGAAATTATTGACATTTATTGATTCTTCTTCTCTCTTTTCTTTTGTTTCTTTTGTATGCATTTTTTTAAGTTTTTTCCGCCTTGATAAACGATAAACGATATACTGATGAAGTGTCATGCGTTTGCCATTCTACTCAACATACTACACAATTACTTCTGTGAGCACCATCAACTTCAAAATCGATATGGATTTACAGTTTTCTTGGTTTTGGCGATTGACTAGGGTCACAGTGATACTCCTGTTACATACATGTTTTTATCTTTTATTTCTTCAATTATTAGTATTTATTTGTATGTTTTAATTATTAGTACAAAACGGATTTTTTAATTAAATTTTTAAACATATATTGTAGTGTTTGCTCTTATAATTAATATTAAATACAGCTTTATAATGATACCGGAATTTATTTTACAATATGTCTTTGGGTTCAAACATATTTCAAACATATTTTAGTCTTCGGAAAACTTTATTTACTTTTAATTTCTCTTAATAAAATTGATTTAATTGAGTTTGCACCTCATGCACCACCACTTTATAATTATAAAAATATAATTTCGAACGTTTGGAACCGGAATTATGTGTGATATGTGCGATATGTGCGAAGCTGTTTACATAATTATAACATACAAACCAATATTTATTATAAATAATCTTTCTTAGATAATCTTTATTTAAAGAACATTTCAATCCATTTGTAAATCGATCTCAACTATATTTTTTTATGAGAATATAAGTTGCAATTGCACCCAAAGACTTGCTTTTTCCTTATTAAAGGAAAAATAAATACCATTATTACAATATATATTTTTTTTTATTAGAACTTGTCCATATAATAATCTGTTAAATATTTAAATCTTTTTTTTGTGTTATACTTTAATATTTATTGTTGCTCTTATTATCGTTTCAGCGTTTTTATTTTATTTTTTTTTTCTTTTTATATATCTGCAATGTATCTAAATGTGTCCTAAATGCGATAATCTCAAAGCTTGTAATCCTGACTTCGCCATAGTGGATATTGTTGCATAAGGTCGTTTCCTTAAATCTATTTAACATATTTTTCTTAGTCTTAAAAATGCAGAAAAAGGAATTGTATGTAAATGCTTATATGTATAATGTATAATGTATATAAAAATGCTTATATTATTTGATAGCTCCTTAATGAGGTTCACATATATTCGCATATATATATTTAAAAATTAAATATTTAGGTGTGATCATTATAAACCGGCATAAAAGAGCATATATATATACAAATCCTCTTTCCGTTTATATAAAAACTCGATTTTTTTGTTTATGGAAATAAGACTATTTTTTCTACTACATATTTTATTTTATGTTAATATTTTGGGTGCTTTACATTCTTACATTTTTACAGCATTTATAAAGTTGCATTAATTCATTTGGGATTAAGTTCATCATAAGCATTAATTCGCTTTGACTAGGAAATACTTGTATATCATTCAAAATGCGTTTTTTGATCGTCAAAGCAATTGTAAGTGTAAATTTAAATCAAATACTTATCGAGTCGGAGTCTCTTTATATTAGTTTCCATTATATATACATAATACATAAATAAGAATTTCGTGAACGCTGCCAGACGATAATTTATTAATATTTTCTTTGTTTTTATCTTTCTTGCAGGCGTGAGTTTTTATTTAAAATGATGCTATGCTAAACTGAAGTTTTGTGTTGTACCACAGATGCTCTGAGACCAAAACATCAATTGTAATGCAAAGTACACACTTTCTAACCTCTTGTATAATAAGGCTTTGCTTTACTATGATAAGGTCCGGTCCGTCCATCGTTGATCAAAATCTTTTGATTTTCATCCAATCGATAATATACAATTCGTAATTGTACCAATTCGCTGTACAACAATAATACAGATGCTTTAATCCATTCAATCCAATCAACAAAGTCTTATAGTACAATTGACTAGAATCTGTGATCCTTGCATAACAATGAATATGTTGCAATGAAGTCAAGTAGTTTGTTTACTTGATTTATGTAAATAATTAATTGAAAAAATTATTTTCATGAAAACACATCGGTTTCAGAGCTGTCGCTTTAGTTGAACACAAAAGAAGCATAAGCAATAAATAGCCACAAAGATATAGAAACTGTTACCCGTTTTTTAACTACTATTCCTAATTCTAGGCAAGACTTCTGAGTCGAAAATTCCATACATTTCTCAGCCAATTTATGATGTCAAGCAGTCGGGAGACGTAAAGTTCGGTCCAGGTACAAGATCCGCTTTGCTTGGTCTCCTTGGTGGGGCGTTACCAAAACTATCATCAGAGCAGCATGATACAGTAACGAAGGCGAAGAAGTATGCAATGGAGCAAAGTATTAAAATGGTCCTGATGAAGCAAACATTGGCGCACCAACAACAGGTTTTAACTCTGCTCTTAAAAGTCTCAATAAGATATAAATAAAATTCATATATTCACAGCAATTAGCATCTCAACGAACACAGGTTCAAAGACAGCAGGCTCTGGCACTTATGTGCAGGTAGGTCCCTTTAAATTTTAACTTCTAACAGTAGTAAATACACGTTTACGATTTTCTAGACGTCTCAATTTGATAAAGGTTTTTTGTAAAGTTCGCATTCTGAGCAGTTGTTTCTATTAGGCGCAATGTCTATAGACATTAGTTGTCAAGATATCGGGCTTGAAAGTTGTGAATTAAATAACTCGTGTAGTTATTGTTTGCATAATAAATGTAAAAACTACAACTTCAAAATCGGATATTTCGAGAATTCAACTATATCTACATATTACGTAGTGAAAAAAGTTGCTCTGAATGACAGCCTTCAAAAAATCGTCGTCAAATTTAGGTGTTTAAGAAATCGTTACAGTGCCATACTAAGTCTACAATGATGTTAGTATAACAAAGTGAATATATTGTCTTGACATAAATAACTTAACTCGAGTTAATGAGTTCTGTTTCTTATAAGATATTAAAAATGTGCTTTTGCTGATAAGATCTGAGTAGAAAAGCAGTTATATATTAAGCATAATTGCAAATACAAGAAAGATGTTTCATTCTATCTATGTTTAATACATTTTTAGGGTGTATGTCGGGAGTATATCTTTTGAACTTAAAGAAGATACAATACGTGGAGCATTTCTTCCATTTGGTCCAATTAAATCCATAAACATGTCATGGGATCCAATTACACAAAAACATAAAGGCTTCGCTTTTGTGGAGTACGAAATTCCTGAGGGAGCGCAATTAGCACTAGAACAAATGAATGGCGCACTAATGGGGGGAAGAAACATAAAAGTTGGTAGACCTAGTAATATGCCTCAAGCGCAACAAGTAATTGATGAAATTCAAGAAGAGGCTAAGAGTTTTAATCGAATATACGTCGCCTCTATACACCCTGATCTATCTGAAGAAGACATAAAAAGTGTTTTTGAAGCATTTGGTCCAATCTTATATTGTAAACTTGCCCAAGGTACTTCATTTAATTCTCACAAAGGATATGGATTTATAGAATATGCAAATAAACAGGCAATGGATGAAGCAATTGCGAGCATGAACTTATTTGACTTAGGTGGACAATTGTTGAGGTATGTACTGTAGTTACATATAACTTATAATGGTGAAAATACTTTTCAATAATTTTTCAATTAAAAACTATAGAGTGGGACGCTCAATTACTCCACCGAATGCATTAGTATGTCCTACTACAAATTCAACAATGCCTACTGCTGCCGCTGTTGCGGCTGCAGCGGCTACAGCAAAAATTCAAGCACTTGACGCAGTTGCAAGTAATGCAGTATTGGGGCTTTCAGCAACAAGTCCGTCCCTAGGAATCTCTCCAATAACAGCACCCGGCGTTGTATCAAAAGTACTTCCAATAGCAACAGCACCTAATGCTTTACATCCTCCTAGTGTTACAGCATCTACTGGTTCAGGGACCGCATTTTTGCAAGCTGGAGTTTTCCAAGCCCCAGCTATTGCACAAACACTTCTCACTTCTGGATTACCTACTGTTTCAGCGGATCAAACAGTGATTACACCAGCAACTTTACTTGCTGCAACCAATATACCAACGGTAACACCAGTTGGTCCAATAGGAGCTGTATCTCTTCTGACTACTGATAACAATATCTCAACGATGATCAATTCTGTACCAACTATGAGTACGAATTCAGTTGAGAATGTAAAGAAAGCCCATGAAAAACAACAAGAAGAATTGCAAAAAAAGTTGATGGAAGAAGTAGAAACACAGACTCTGCAGCAACAAGAAAATATGTCGATAAAAGGTCAAAGTGCGAGACAGTTGGTGATGCAACGCCTAATGCGGCCGCAAGAATCGAGGGTAATTATATTACGAAATATGGTTGGACCAGAAGATGTGGATGAAACACTTCAAGAAGAGATTCAAGAGGAGTGTAAAAAGTTTGGCACTGTTAGCCGTGTTATAATATTCAATGAGAAACAAACAGAAAACGAAGATGACGAAGAGGCAGAAATAATCGTCAAAATATTCGTTGAATTTTCTAATGCGACCGAGGCTATACGCGGTCGCGATGCTCTTCATGGCAGATTCTTTGGTGGAAGACGAGTAATAGCCGAACTTTATGATCAATCATTATTTGATCATGGAGATTTATCTGGTTAGATGATAGATTATATATCAAATTAATTTTAATTAAATAGTAAACTTTCTTCTTTAATGTATTCGTATGTAATGTAACCCAATTACTTGTTCGCTAATAAATATATTTCTTACTCTGTAAATGGGGTATTTTGATACTTGCTTATGAAATATAAACGGTAAGTATATACATTTTTACTTTAAATGTTTTAAGCACTATTTGTTAATGACTTTCTTGTTAATATGATTTCTGATTTATTGTATATTGCTGTTAAAAATGAATTTATTATGTGTGGTGTGTTAGCTATGTATATTATTCATATGGATCTCAACATAACATAGTATATTAAAGGCTGGAGATATATTAAAGGTAATATCAGACGTGCTCTGTAACTCGATATAATTATAAAGTTTTATGTTTTTGGCAATATTCGAAACAGCTGTATGGTCAGACAAAAATTCAATTAATTAAAATAATATAAAAAGAATTTTTGTTTTAGTTCACTTCTTTTCGAAATCTCTCCACAAAAATGAAATTTAACTTGAAGTGTTTTAAAACACAAAACACAAATTTAAGGTTTACTTAAATTTTAAATTTACTTTTTCCACTAAGGCAACAAAATTAGCCATTAAGAAACTGCAAAAATTTTAAAACATCACCATAAGATGAAGAACATCACCATAAGATGAAGAACATCACCATAAGATGAAGAACATCACCATAAGATGAAGAACATCACCATAAGATGAAGAACATCACCATAAGATGAAGAACATCACCATAAGATGAAAAACATCACACATAAATATTAGGTCGTCTAATCAATTGTTGTCAACTTCATTGAATCATATTCAGTTTTCCACATTTTGTGGGCACTTTTATTTTAAATAAAAAAAAAATCAATTTATAGTGCAACTGAAGAATAATTAAAAGCGGGTATTCTGACCCTTGACATTTTATAACGTCTGAAGATCCCTAACTGTTTTTAGCTTAAATTGTTAATACTGATTCAGAAATTGATTTTAATTTATCCAGGTGAATTAAAAGCGTCTATTTGATACGTTATTCACGATTTGTTGCTCTGTATCATTTAATTTTATCATTTTATTTATAATGTAATTTACCGAATTACATAAAAATATTTATATAAACCACAAAATTATTTTTCATGAAGTATTTCGTCACAAATCTACATGTAATAAATTAAACATTAAAAAAAATTATCTAGTTATTTAAAATTATAAAGTTCAAGCATTTCATTTAAATTAGTTGGGCAGTAAAGCTGTCTCCGACACAATGTACTCTGCACCTTTGTATGCAATAAACTCGCTGAATTTATTCGGTGATCCTTTTCAATATGAGAGGTTTTTTTATAATGAATCCAGGAGCGCAGCACCAAAACCAAACGTTTGTTTAATACTATTCCAATAGTAACGCTGCCAGTTTGTCTTCATTGTATCAAATTCAGAGGCGGGTATACCCGTCTGTTTTAATAATAATTGTGTACAACTCTTCTGTATTAAAATTTAAAAATGAATAAATGTCATTATATATTATAATAATTATTACTAACCGCTTCTTCCAAATTAATCTCTACATTAGAATAATGACCCAAAGGCCATGATTTAAGACGCCATGATTGTTTGATTATTTTTTCTGGAACCAATTCTTCAAATTTACCTTGTACATTTCCGCCGTATAAAATAAATCTAAAAAGTCATGCTATGAAGTTATATTTAAAAGATTAATATTAATTACATACTCTCCGCCTCTGATAGCGTCCACCTTTGCAGGAGCGCGCGTAAATGCAGATACTAGATCTTGTTTTGTAAGCGTATTATAGAGATCAGCGGCATTACAATAGAACTCTATAGTCATTGTTAAAGTTTGAACGTCCAATTTGCAACCAAGCACTTTATCTGTATTATTATGTGTACTTTGATTTTGTGAAGTTTTATTAAAATTTTCCTTAATATTTGAATTTCGTATAGTTTCGTTAACTATTTGCTGTTGTCGTAGATTTTCATCTCCCTTTTTTGGAAGTATAAGATTTTTTGAGTACTGCTCCTTTAGTTCTTTTATATATAAACCTAATTGTGCACGTATACTTTCACGGCCTACATTATACATAAATGTTTTAAGCGTCTCCGACTCATTATTACTCTCATCGATCGAAATAGTAATTTCAATCTCATTTAAATCATTTTCCTCCGAAAGATTTGGTATGGTTATTTTACCTTTGTGAGACTTAGAGCTATTCTGTAATTGACCAGTCCATTTTAATACTAATTCCCATTCATAAAAAAAAATCAATTTTCCTTTGCGATTGTTTGCAGTCGCTTCACCAGCGATTTTATCCACAACATCTATTACACACTCGGTATTATTTTGCTCTGCAATTACATTCACCCATTTATTCAACACATGGTAAAAGAAAATTGTTAGAAGAATTTAAATACCTATTTTAAAATTAGTGAAAAGCTCGAGAATTCGATCTTTACTCCACTGTGTGGCATTCTTCTCTGTCCAATGCCAATTGTTAACATTTGTCGCATCGGGACGCTCTTCCACAATCCAACGCGGGTCTCCTTCTCCCCATTTAGCCATATTAGTAAATAAATAATGTAAAGTACTTAAAAATTTTGTAATTTTATAAAATACAAATAGAAATAAATAAATCACGTTTTAGTGTTACGCATTCAGAGCCCTGCACAGCAAAGCTTCGAGAAAAAACAATTCAGAGAATATTCGAGAACTCTTTTTGGCATCGAATTGACAGAAGCCACAGGATGTTACGAAAATGTCTGATTTTAGTTACAGGTTATATATTAATACATTATACACTATTAATAAAATAATATTTTTGTTATATGATGATAATAAGAAACTCGTTTTCATTCAATTATAAAAAGTGCTGGTATTTTATGTCTTATGTTGTTTTTATAATTAAAAATAAAATAAAACGCTATTTATAATTTTTTCAAAGTTAGGACGTGTGCGAGTTAGGGTAAGTTGCGTTCTAAATGAGGGAAATTCTAAGCTGTGCCGATAATGTAGTGATGTGTCCATACATGTTGATAAACGGCTAAATGTGTGCAGTGCAAAAATCCCAAAAAATCTCCCATTTGGTTTAGCATCAACTTAGCCAACTCGCACACCTCCTTAATATAATAATTTTAAAGAGAAGGCAAAATGAACTGAATATATTAATAATATATATATTACATGTATAAATAATTCAAATTTTACTTTTAATTTTACAAAACAACAAAGAGTACTATCATTCCTTTATAATTTAAAGAATGCATATGATTAATTTTTATGATTGATATATACAATCAACAAAATTACGCCAGTAACTAATTTCTTCAATAATGCCGTGTGCAAGTTCAAATAAATTGAAGTAAAGTAAATTGAAATTTCCTAGGGATTTATTTATTTATTAACTACACTTTTTTTATTATTTTTGGTTAAACATCTTATAAAATTTTCACAATAGTAACACCTAACTTACCTAATTTTTATCTAATTTACCCGACTCGAATTTCTGGTAAATACCAACATTCACTGCCAAACCGACATAATTTGCTATTTCCCTCAATTTACTCCAACTCGCACACGACCTATATATATAAACTTTAAATAACATAAATATTTCTTTCCAAGTTAACATATATCCAAATTTATTTTGCTAAATATAATAATCAGAGTAAGCTCATTTTAAGAATAATTTTAAATTTGATATAGCTCATATGAGTTGAAAAAAAATGAAATTAAGTCTGGTTGAAACAATTTGTGATCGCTTTTAAAATATGTTAATGTTTTTTAACATATGTTTTTTATTAAGATATGTACAAAATGAAATATAAAAATTGTGAACACTAAAAATTAATAGTAAATTAAAAAAAATTAGGGTCAACATAATAAAACCAATAAATCTCCATATCGTGTTTAAAGTTTAAACGAACTTCAATTAATTTTCAACTTTAAGTGTTTATAAAGCAGCAAAACCAAAAATTCAAGCCTTTAAAATATTTTTCTGAATTTAAATGAATAAATTTTTTTCAAAAAAATCACAATTTTTTTCTCAATTGTTTTTTTGTATTTGCAATTTATTGTTTTAATTCACGTGTTTAACTTTGTTTTTATATATTAAGTTTTGTACGAAAATGAGTTTAATATGAGATTTTATGAATATTTAAGTAATTTACAAAAATAAAATCTTATTGTAAATTCTTCAAATATATATGTTGTTATAATAAAAAAAATTTTATATAACGAAAACTATGAGGAACTTAAACATATCATATATCAGAATTAGTATTTTTGAGATTCGTTGATACCCTTTTATAGCTTTCCGAACACTTTTCATTTACACTTCAGTGGTATAAGACCATGTTTCAACTTGACAGATTCTTTTTCTATCCGGTTCCTTTTCGTGAACGCCAGCCAAAATGAAAGCAAAGGGACAGGTAAAAAACTCTTTGGAATTTGTTAAAAGTTATTGTAAATTACTCCAAAAATTTGTCGCGAAGTATTTTTATGTTGATTGAAAAGTTGAGGTACATGTTTAATGAATAAACAACCATGTTCCAGTTGATTTGTGTGATAAAATAGTGGTTAAGTGTTAGTTCATTTCTTTAGTATAAAAAACAAATTTTTGGAATAATTTTATATAATAGTTATCTGCGACCGTTTTGCTTAACATTATGTATTTGATTTGTTGCAGTTGAAGGAATATGAAGTCATTGGCCGCAAATTGCCAACGGAGAAGGAACCACAAACTCCTCTTTATAAGATGAGAATATTTGCGCCTGACAATATTGTTGCAAAGTCGCGTTTCTGGTATTTCTTGCGTCAACTAAAAAAGTTTAAGAAGACAACTGGAGAAATAGTGTCATTGAAGCAAGTATACGAAACTTCGCCTATTAAAATTAAGAACTTTGGTATTTGGCTTCGTTATGATTCTCGTTCTGGTACACATAACATGTACCGCGAATATCGTGACCTAACAGTTGGAGGAGCTGTTACACAGTGTTATCGTGATATGGGTGCTCGTCATCGTGCTCGTGCCCATTCCATTCAAATTATTAAAGTGGAGGCTATCCCTGCCAGTAAAACACGCCGGACTCATGTTAAACAGTTCCATGATTCAAAAATCAAATTCCCTCTTGTGCAAAGAGTCCACCACAAGGGCAACAGAAAAATCTTCTCTTACAGGAAACCAAGAACCTATTTCTTGTAAATATTCTGTGACTAACACAATTTTCGTAAATAAAGATTTAAAGTTTTGAAAATTATAAATAAAATTTATAAAGTTTTTTTTTATAATTTATATATTCTTTAGCAAATTATAAGCAAATTTGATTAATAAGTTAAATATAAGATAATTAAAATAATCAAATTAAGTGCTGTCATCTTCGAATAATATCCTTTGTGAGTCTTATGTCCCTGGGATCTAAGACAAGCTTAAGTTGATACTTAAGTTGAATGTAAATGTGTAATTTCTGTATTTTTTAGTCGGTAGCATGGCTCATATCAGAGGTTTTAATTTCCTTGTGGACTTATTGTCAATATTTATATTGCGGCAGCACTTAAAGCAGGTTTAATTTTCTGATTTATATTGAATAACGAATATTTTTTAACAATTTATTTTTGTCTTTCAACTATAGCTGTGCATTCAAAGGAAATAGAGTGTATTTCAATGTTAGAATATCTACAGAAGTATATAAGTTTAAACTTATTGTTATAATGGTTTCTTATCAGAACTGGGATAAAATCTGATAGTGATTGGGTATAACATAGAGTTTTTTCTTCATAAATTCTTCGCTTTAAAAATTTTTTAAAGTGAGTAAATGGTTCAGTAGTACAGTTGGTGACATTATCTGACAGACCTGTTTATTTTGATACAGCGTATTATCAAACCATAATCAGGAAGCTGAACCAGCAGCTATGCACTTGATGAGTGTTAATGGGACTTGTTTTTATAGAATAATTTTTAGTTTTATCTAGCTTTTTATTAAGTTGTTTATAATTAAAAGATCACACCAACAAACCACATTTAATTATGAAATTTACAAATTTAATTAATTGATTTATATTTCAATATAAAAGTTTTTAATATCTAATTTAGTTTTGATATAAATGTAAATACTATAAAACAGGATTGGGGACTTCTTAATAATAATTTATCTGTTTATTATAGAAAACTTAATTGATAGTTTTAATTCCCATTTAATATACAATTCATTGAATAATATTACAGTGTTGAATGCAATATTATTTTATGTAATGTAATATAAATTATATTTTTTATTCAAATAAATTAAAATTGTTTGTTTTTATTTTTCTATGTTTTTTCTATAATTTTAATTTATTTCATTAACCATTTTGTTGTTGGTAACTGTAAGTGCATATAATTCCGAGCTCTTCAAATATCGCAAGATTGTTGTCTAATATAATTATATATGGATAATCACACAAATATTTATGTAGGCAGAATATACATATTCAATGTTTTTATGTCTGAATCAAAATATGTGCAAATAATAACAAACGTCAAAAAGTCTGCATCAAAAAGGTGGCATCACTAAAATATGTAGAGAAACTGAATTTTTATAAACAAATGTGTGCTATTTCTTAGATTTTGGGGAATTAAAACGTTTGATATGAATATTGAAGAAAATCGTTTGCGCTCTTTTCATGGCTGGCCTTCTCATATGCCAGTGATGGAATTAGCTCATAATGGTTTCTATTCGAAGATGTCAACGAGTGGGTTTTACGTTGAATGCAATTGGTGTCACAGTGATATGGATTGCCACAATATCCGTTCAACAGAGGTGTGTTGAAGATAAATACGTTAATATTGTTACTGATATTATATTACAGGTAGAAGAAATCCATAGATTATTAGACCCACATTGCGACTTTTTGTGTAATTATGAAAGTTGCAATAACGTGTCAATTGAAGGCGCTGCTGGTCAGAGTCGAAGTAATTCAAATTGTTCAAATACTGTTACGTCAGAACAGTATTCAGATACAGCACAACGTCCAGATTTATTAATAGAAGCTAATCGTTTAGCTACGTTTACGAATTGGCCTGTATGTAATTGTGTTTATATATTGGTGCTTTTTACTTATGTACATATTGTGTTATATATAATTTCGCAGAATCCAAACATTTCTCCGGAATCTTTGGCAAAGGCAGGGTTTTTCTACCTGAACCGGTCTGATGAGGTTAAATGTGCTTGGTGCAAAGGAGTCATTGCTAGGTGGGAAAAGCAAGATAATGCCTTTCAGGAGCATAAACGATTTTTTCCCAATTGTCCCAGAGTTCAGTTGGGTCCATTAATAGAAATGACCAACGATGGCATACGAGATCTAGGAATTCAACAAATTTCACCGCCTAAAATGCCTAAGTTTTCGTCATTGGATACACGTTTACGCACATATACAAACTGGCCAATTAGAGATGTGCAGAAACCTGAGTCCTTAGCACAAGCTGGTCTTTACTATCAAAATGTAGATGATCAAGTACGTTGCTTTCACTGTAATATTGGCTTAAGATCATGGCAAAAAGAGGATGATCCTTGGTTTGAGCACGCCAAATGGTAAGCAAATTTAGATTAATAATTGTTATATATGTAGTTCTGCAAAACAACCAACGTTAAATTGTGTAAATAAAATTAAATTAATTTAAATTTCATTTTAAAACTTAGTAATTATCTTTTTTAATAGGTATCCACAATGTCAGTTTGTTAAATTAGTAAAAGGAGTAAATTATGTCCAAAGTGTTCAAAATATTACGAAGCAAACCTCACAATTGCAACATCAAGCAAGTTCTTCTGTTATGAGTATTGATGAAGCAATGAAAACGTCGCCTGTGTTGCAAGCATTACAAATGGGTATTGATATTGTATCTATTCGAAATGCCACTCAGAAACATCTTACACTGACTGGTAGACCCTTCGACCTTGTTGAAGATCTGGTAAAAGTTATTTTCGATGAAAGAAAGTACGAAGACTCAAGCGAACATGATGAAAACGAAGGAGCTGGAGCATCGATCGTGAAAGAAGTTTCACGCATTATAAACAGCATATTTGGGGATGTAGATAACTCAGGAGCTTCGAGTTCTGCAGAAACTAATATATGTCAATTGCCCATGTCTTCTGGTACTACAACGGCAAATGCAAATATAATCTCTAATGTCTCAAGTGCAGATACTTCCAATGACGTAAAAACTGAAGACACTTCCAATAACGATTGTAAAAATAATATTGCAACGGTATCAGACACCGTAACATGTAATAGCATGTCACTTGAAGAAGAAAATCGAAAACTAAAAGACGCACGTTTATGTAAAGTTTGCCTAGATGACGAAGTTGGTGTTGTATTTTTACCATGTGGTCATTTGGGTGAGTAAGAATATAATTAAATTAAAAATAAAATCTCTTAATTGATTTCATTGTAGTTACTTGCGTTCAATGTGCACCAAGTGTAAATCATTGCCCAATGTGCCGTACTGAAATAAAAGGCTTTGTTCGAACTTTTCTCTCCTAGGTGTGATTTTAATAGTTATTATTGAATCTATGTATATTTTAATTATAAATTACTTATTTTAGTTAACTGTGATCAATGGGCTAATGATAGTATTAATTGTCCGATATATATTGAAGTTTGTAAGGATGCTCACCTTTAACAACTTATAATTCTTAATAACAGTTTAGTATTAATTTATTGCAAATAGTCGAATTAAAATGAATAATTTCTAAAGTGAAATTGTTTATTCAATTCTCAAATTGACAAATTGTCTTTGCATTGTAAAAATATATAACTTATAACTTTTGCGTCGTAGGTATCATAGGGTTTTAATATTTGTATCAAAGTTATGTTATTATTTTTGTTGTATAAATATTTATAAGCTATTCTAAAGAGAAAAAAATCTATAAATTTTTCAAATTATTTCAAAGTTTGTATTTTATTCATTTGGTAGTTCCTTTTCTTGTGAAGTTTGTTATTTTTTTCTTTATAATATATATATATATAAATAAATTTAAAAATATTACTAACACATATGTTTCCATTTTATTAATTTTGTAAACGATACGATATTTCCATTATTGCTCTTTTATCGGCTAAATTCACAAAACAATTTGTTTATGTTATTTCAGTTGAAAAACATTACATAGTCAGTAAGTTGAAGTTCTTCGCTTTTGATAGCTAAATCATTCTTGTCTGATGATATGGTTCAGTTCGGAAATAAATCGTCGACGGGCATACTCTGCCGCTTAGGGCAGTAAGTTCTAGAATGTAGTCAACACTGTTCCCATGACACTTTTCAAGTTTGAGATAGTTTTTCTTCCCGCAGCTCTCAATCGTTATTGATTTGTCGACAATTGTCTTATTTTAATTTAATCCCTCAGCTCTCGGCAACTGCTCTTATCGGTGATATTACTGCCTTAGAGTTTTGCATTGCTAAAAGAAAATTGATCTAGAGATCTTGATCCATGATATCTTGTTAACAAGCTCAAATACCTCATTCTGAATCACAATTGACTATAGTTGCTTTAAACGAAACCTCGACCTAGGTTTCAGTTTTCTTACACCTAGTAGAGAAGACTTTATTCCAGTTAGAGTTGTAGACATGGTAGACATCTACACTGATGGGTTCAAAATAGACGAAAGCGTTATCAGTGGCATATTTTCTTAAAAATTGGGTTTCAACATCATGCTCCGACCATCAAACCAATTCCCGGACCGCTAAGTTAATATCAAATCTTCGTTAATAGTTCGAAAATTCTAGGCTAATGAGGTCTATAATTGTCAAATTCACATGGGATATCTTCGTTTACTCTATGACAGATCAGCGGGCTCGCACTCTGCTTACTGACATTCGGATATTGGTATTCTAATTGCGGCGGTTAAGCTGACAATAAAAGAAAAATATCTGAGTATAGCTAAAATAAACCTGACCAGATGAAAATTTTTGCCACATTTCAAAATTTATTTGGTACAAATTAATCAAAAAACTTAACAATCAGCTAAATTGAAACATGCTCCGTACTACGGTATCGCTCCCGACACGTCACTGTTTACTATAAATACATGATATGAGATTTCATCTATCCTATATCCATCCTTGTGGCTCTAAAAAGGAGGAGTAATCTATGGTTTACATTTTTTGCTAATACTCATATTTACTAAAAAAATATTAAAAATTTTTGTGAAATTATGGCAAGATTTTCGAGGTCCTTATGATCTGTATATGAATAACGTGAATCCGTGATATCACAACGGTTCATTATTTGAGCTCAAGTGGTCTTTCGTGTACAATGCCAAATATAAATATAAAAATATAATTTAATATAAATATAAATATAATTTATTTTGTAATTGATATATTATATATATTTAATACTTGTGATATACATATATGTCCATATGTATAAATTATAAGAATAATAACAGCAATTGCAGCAATTTATCTTTCTTTTTAGTGAACTTTAAATTTAGTTACATTCATATTTCGTCACACTTGCAGTCATATAATAAAACAGCCATAAAATAGAAAGAATCACAAGAGAAGAAGCAGTAGTAGTGATCAATTTTACTTCTCAGTGAGCTTAGTATATATTTACATTTATATTTCGTCACACATTTATAAATATATGTAAATTACAACAATAATAGAAAGAATAGTAAGAATAGAAATGGTATCGTGATTTACTTTATTACGGCAGAAATACCTCTAAAAAGGCAACAATAATAGAAAGAATGGTAAGAGTAGTAGTGATAGTCAATCTATCACTCATTATTCATACTAATTTCAGAAAAAATTTAAGAACAAATAAAAATTTTAAAATTTGCTGAAAAGAGAAATATTTTCTACAGAAAAGCTGCTAAAAAGCAGTTTGAATTAGTAAGCCAGCCAGATGTCGATCTTAATCCACGATTAAAACATCTCGATCATAAAATTTCTTGGAGCCTTGCCATATCAAAATAAATTCCAAAATATCGTAGCTGCCCAACACACATCACTCTTTCTCTGTTTATTCAATCGAAAAACAGGTGCCAGCAATATCGTTTCTCAGTATTTAAGCAAAGCCTGTCGTGGTTGGTTGTGTTGGCGATTTCGATTTTATTAATTTACGAAGATAAATTTTTAATAAGAAATTGTGTAAACAGATAAGTTATTAATAATTAGTTGAACTGCATATATCGGGAAAAGTTATTAAAAAATTACTTACTAAGTACATCGAGACTAAGTATAGCAAAGCCGCGATGCTATGCTCTGAATGTATTTCAATATAAATATAAAGTGAGTTGGTCGGTGATTACTCAAACACTCAATCGCCAGCGATTAAAGATGTGTACATACACAAAAATGTTTGAAGTGAGCAAGAAAATTAGCCAAGAAAATATTTCAGATCTATAAATTTCAATATTTATTTTAGAGTTTCTGCTTCTGTTCGGTTTTGTTGTACCTGCTGTTACCATAGCAATAACAAATTATAAACATTTGCATATTAATTGAGTAAAACGTAAAACGATAATTTTACGATAATTTGCAATTAAAACTAAATTGTAGTATTTTAAATAATTAAAAGAAAGTGAGATAATAAATGTTTGGGTTCATTAACTTCTTTTAAATTGGATCGTAAGTGAAGCGCATTCATTTTAAACCGGTTAAAAATTACAAATTTTTACTGATAACATAAAATTGCGTTAAACGCTTACTAAAATTATTTGAAAAGATAAAGATGCATATATCTTAAATGGAAAAGAATTCAAAGAGACATCTCTCTTGGTGAAACGATCTGAATCACGTAATATTCACGTACTCCGAAAAGAAAAAAATGAAAACCGATTAGAACGTTTGACCATCAATAATCGAATTATCTAAGATTTCGGTTTTAATATCCATAAGAGAGTTTTCTTATTTCAGTTCTAAGATTTGGAACTCGTTTCACATGTTTTCGCTAAACGTTTTGACCTTTTGGTCGCCAACAAAATCTTTTCTATCACCTACGCGGTAATTGCACTTCAGTGCACTTCATTAGGACCGTCCAATTGACATATGTATATATAAATGTAACAACTATTAAATCACCATAAACATCAAAGATAATGTAATAGTAGAAAAAAATAATATGAACTGCTTAATATAAAATTGGTTACTCTTCTTGCACCACTTAAAATATATTTCATTGAACGTAATATATAATATAATAATTATTTCATTTAAATCTGTTCATAGTAATATAGGACATTATGGAATCCGAAGATTGCACTTGTACGGCTTTATCCATAGAGAATGGAAAGTTAGGACATTTCTCAGAAAATGTTGCGCCTGGTTTTAGTCGCAACAGGAGTACATATAGCAGCTTACCGATTCACATCAATCATCGCAGAAAGGACATTGATGTTGAAACAAGTAAAGAATACAGAGAAACTCAAAAACAAAAGCATTCACTTAATGAAGAACTTTCGTTACATGACTATTTAGTTGATTTAAATAACGATCATACTTTCGGCTTGTCAACAAGTCTTTCGACAGAATCTTTAAAGAATGCTTGCAGCTATTCTGATGAAGAAAGCGACAAGAACTTTAATATAAGTCAAAATATTTCGCCAAAAACATTAACCCACGAATCACATACCCAACTATGTTTCAGTAATGATACTGAAACTCAAGAACACGAAATATTTCCTGTCAATTTTGTAGAGCATCAGGATAAAACAGAAACAACAAGTACTATATTAGACTGTCTCTTAGATCTGGATAACTATTTGGATGAACTGGATAATGAAAGTTTAGTCAATTTTGATAATGAAAACTTTCAAGCAAAAAGTTCTGTGCTACAACGTTTGAATAGTCGTAGAAGTACTCTGCCTCTAAAATGGAAAAAAGATTTATATGTGGATGAAAAAAATAAAGAATCAAACTCTCGATTTAGTCGTCTAAATAAATTGAGAAAGACGTTGAGTTGCAATATCGGTACTAATGAGTCAGGTTAGCTTTGTTATTTATATAAATATTTTCATTTAAAATATTAAGTTTCATTTTCTTAGGTTACTCACTATTTTCTAACAGTTCTGTAGCTGCCCACTCTGATTTGGAAATTTTTATCGATAAGTCGTCACAATCAGACTGTAATTCGCATTCATCAACAACATTCAATGATAATGAAAGCCAAAAAGTTAAAAATAATATGTCATATTATAATAATAGAGCTGATCTTAAAGATTTAAAAGTAAATTTAACTGCAAAAAATGACCTGAGACGTTGTTTCTCCCAAAACTGCTTACAAGACAATACTCTGTATATAAATCCAAATGAAATGCTTACGGAAGATAATATATTTCAAAACTTGTTAGCTCAACAAGAACGTAGTAGTACGTTTGAAAATCGCCCTAGACAGATAGGTAGACGTGGTGAAGGCCAACCATGCATTCTACCAATGAGGTCAGACTCACTTGATAATATTAATATGACCACATATATCAGTTGTAATCAACGACCGTTAAGTGCACCTACACCATCTAACGTTTCAAACTTTTCTGAAAATACACAAATATATAATGTCGATAACGCTGGAGTCTTTGTTGGATCTGACGAGAGTTCTCTTCCATCAACATCACATAACGAAAGTCATGTTTCTCTCGCTTCAAGTTCTGATTGTAGTTTTATAGAAGTATCTGCAAATCCTGACATAGTCGGTAATCTTGCTATAAATGAAAGTATAGGAAGTGGTACTGCAGAAACTCAAACTGAAAATCATTCGACCTTGCCCGGAGATTGTAATAACGAATGGCCGCATGGAGTTAGTAGAGCCTTAGCTCTAACATCTTGTACATTAGGATTATTCAACATTTGTCGATTTGCTGGTCTCACAATTAACTATGGAGGAAATTTTTTAATTCAATTTTTTCTTCTTTCAATAATATTTGGAATCCCTTTATTATGGCTTCAAATGTGTTTAGGATCTAAAATACGTTGCGGACCAATTTCGATGTGGAAAATAAGTCCAATATGCAAAGGAATTGGTGTTACTGTAGTTTTAATTCAATGTGTAATTGCTATATACTCATCTGTGGTAATAGCTTGGACTTTAGTTTATGTTCGAGACTCATTTCTGGGAAATGAGAATTCGTCGTATCCTTGGGAGAATGCAATAAATATAAATAGAAATAAATTATCAGTGTCAAATAATCTCACTGAGTCCGTGGCTGATTATTTTAATATAATAGTTTTAGGGCGCTTCAAACATTTTCGGGATTTGGACAGTACTGATACAAAGTTTCACCTTAATGATCGCGTATGTATAATTAAATATTCTAATAACATATATATATATATATATATATTTTTTACATATCATACAGTTGGTTACTTTTCTAACTTTATTGTGGATCGCCGTAATTTTAGTCCTTTGTAAAGGTTTTAAATCTCTTGGATATGCAATATTTGGACTTATTCTAGTGCCGTTTTTAGGTCTAATAGTTTTAACTTGCAAAATTATATTTTTAATCAATCCATCAAAAATTCAGGTACGTATAAAGAAAATATTAATAATTACAGGAAATTATTATGAATTAATATATAGAACATATTATCTCTTAACGACCTTGACGATTTCTTAGTCAATTCGAAAGCGTGGACCGCAGCGGCGCAAGAAGTTTTTTTAACATGGGGACTATTTGGAGCATCAGTCATTGCTTTTTCGAGCAGAAATAATAAAAACAATACCAAAACATCACTCCGTACAGATGCTATAGTCACGGTGCTGTTAACTTTATTAGGGCTTTCGATTGCGGCACTGCTGGGACTATGTACTATCCAAGTTTTGAATCAATATTCATATGTGTATGTGCCAGGATCATTTGGTAAAAATATAATTTTACAAACTTTGAATAGTAATGCAGTGCTATATACTTTCAGAGCATCCAGAAATTTATACAGCTGTTTATTCGATTGATGTTAATTTAAATACAAACGTTTTGTCTTATCCTTCCAAATGGATTCCGCATTGCTCTGGTTTTATAGGAGAAGCATATCGCAAAATTACAATTGGACAACGTGAAAGTGGGTATCAAGTACTACGTTTCATAACGGAACTCTTTCCAGCCGTAGTAGCATTGAAAAAAGCAACAATGTTTTGGTTTTGGAGTTTTGCTGCTTTCACAACGTTCTTTCTGTTTGGACTTGTGCAATTATGTGCTGTATGGAAACCTATATCATTAGCCTTAGGAAATACAACCACTTCTGTTATATTGAGTTGCATAGTGGGTTTATTACTTACTTTACCATTTACAAGTGAATTTGGTATTCATGCTCTTTATTATTTTGATTTACTGTTGGGAGGCTCTTGGATTTTGCCAATCTTATGGGCTATCGAAATTTTTGGTGTGTTTTTAATAAGAGGACGACCATATAACGGAGATGATCTTGTAAATGATTTAAAAATGTCACAGTCAGTTTCTGCATTCTTAGCTTTATCGTGGAACGTATTGCTACCAATCGGCCTAATCGCACTATCAGTTATTGATTACAAAGTATCAATGTCGAATGAGTTTTACTATTGGCGGGGCAAATCATATTTCAGTTTTTGGGTAAGGAAAGTTGGGAGTCTAGTACAAGTAGGACTTTTACTTTTAACGCCATTAATTGCTATTTGTCAAATATGCAGATACTTAACTAAAGGTCCACCAGATATTCTTGATGTAAGTAAAATATTAAATTAACATTTAGTGGATAAATTAATATAGAATAACTTTTACAGAGAATTCAGTTATTATATCGTCCAGATGAAAATCTTACGCATAGAAGATTTGTGAGCAGCAATAGCGGTCATGTTGAAAATGGATGTTATAATACAAGAACTAATGTTGACTTATCAGTTAACCGTATACAGGATGATGCACCCCCAAAATATACACCACCACCCTCTTATACTACCGCAACAGGTGCTCGGTTGGCAAAGTATTTACGTCGAAGTATAAGACGTAGCGTACGACGGTAAGGAAATTTACATTCAAACTAACATAGCAATTTAACATGAATATAATGTATTTTAAAAAGGATACTTGGTGAATCAACTGTATCTAGACCTACACTAACCGTTAATTCTGAAGATGCTTCACAATCGCCCCCGGAGTACTCAACTGTGCATAGTAATAATTCAAGCAATATAAGCGGCAGTATACAATCTACTGAAGTTGTGGAAACAGAGCAAATACAACTATCCGATAATATTATTGATTTCTCTATACCGAGAGTTCAAAAAGATGAAAGCGAAATTCAAATCGACAGAATCACACCCAATTCGCTTAATTTAGAAAGAAATAGAACGAATAGGCGCCCATTCACTGCTGAAGATGTTGTTACAGTCTTAAGATCATCAACAAGATTTTGCCGAGAAAGAAATATACCTTCAGCATACAATTTTGGGGAGAGAGAAATACAAAGTAATAATTCCTTTCAATCTATTGAAAACTTAATTTTAAATGTAGAACCGGTAGGACATAGTGCAGCAGTTTGCGTATATAACAATGAAGAAAATCAGAAAAGTAATAAGCTAGATAATATGTCTGTGATTTAGTATAAACTTCGGGATAAGTTTAAAATATTTAAATCTGCCATTAATAATGGCAGATGCCATTAATAATCATTAAAATTAAAGTAAATGGCTTAGTACTGAAAATGTTACGAATCGCTCGTCCTAACCTCGTGTGTAAATGTATGACCAAAATACGTTTGTAAAGGTCAAAACCGATTGTAAAACTTTTTGAATTTTGCAATGTGATGCAAAAAGATAAGAGACTATTCGATCCATTTGTTATTGTTACTTCCGCTATAATATTAATTAATTATATTAAGGATAAATAAATATAAATTTGAAAGACATTAGCAACTTTTTTAATTTTATTATATTTCAAGCAAAAAGTCGTGACAACAAAATTCTAAATATTGATGAATAAGATTTGAATTAAAAAAATATTCCGATGATTTCTTGATCAGACTTCTTATACATTTGTAGTTTATACAAAAAAATAATCATAATTCTTAAATTAATGCGTGCAAGCGTTTTCAATAAAAAAAGTGAAACTCCAATGTTACGCACAGTAAATACAAAAGAGAAAATAAATGACTGAGCGAAAATCGCTTTACATTTGACTAGAGGTTCATTCGACTAAACTGAACCATAATTTCATACAAAGCGTGCAAATACAATCAAAGTCACGATTGCCGTTTTATATGGGCAAATGGTTCAGTAAAAAAACTGAACCGCGCATAGTAAAAGAGTAAATCAATGCATGAGAGTTTCTTACTCTTATGTAGAGGTTGGAAATAAACCAAAAACAAAGTCATTATTGCAATTTTATACTAGCAAATGGTAAAAGTAAATAAAAAAATTAAAGAAATTTGAAGTGCAAAACAATATTTAGATTTGATTCAAATATCTTTTTTTAAACGATCTTCTGAAGAAAAGGTTTTAATTCATAAAATGAATAGACCAACTCCAGATATGAAGAATTTAGTACCTGATGTAAAAATGTCGTTAAGCTTCTAATGGAGTATGGAATAAAAAATAATAATAATATATATGTATACTTCTTTGTGCAAGACTATCTATGGTTGATGGCCACACCCAGATATTTCGTAATATTATCTGATTAAGTGCATCGATTTAATTTTTGGTTTAATGTATTTAAAACGCATAAGCTCAATCTCATAATAGAACTTCATGATATTTATGCCAATGGTTACTACTAGTAAGTATATAATATGCTGTACTTGCTAAAAAATAAAGATTTAAAGGTTATTCCTTTATCTGTAGCAAAATCAGTAGATCAGAATCGAGGAAATCCTACATTCATCCATTGTCAATCAATTTAAAACTAGGATCATGTTACTTTTCTATTAAATTTATGATAATTTTTATATTATTTACTGGAGTCTCGTAACTTCACGCGGTCTTTTAATAAATGTGAGAATATCGGCATAAATTTTTGTCAATAATAAAAAATTCGTGATTGTTCGGTTTGACAACTATGAAATAAAGTTAACCCATATTGGTTGGTCTGTCAAATGTTTAAAAAAATTCGCTATTTTATTCGTCTATTTTAAAAATGGACAAGCCTTCCCTTAGTATTAGCTTATTAATAATACATATACTTTATAGAATCTTCAACACCTTCTAGATATATCTTTTCAAGATACGAGTGTCAAAGTATCATATTGTGGTTCATTATGTAAAGCAAGAGTGAAGTTAGCCCTAAGCGCAGCCAGGAGAAGATCTGATGAATTTTTTTATATAGAAACTGGTTTAAAAACTGCACTCGGCTGCCTACACTTCATCTATCACCTATACATATATTACAACAATAATAAAAAGCAAAAATATCAGCAATAGTACTGTAATGTGATGTTGAACCTTTTCCGAGTTAGTGCATCTGGGCACATTTACTCTTTGATAGCTTGGGAGTTTCTGCAGAGTCCCACCCATCTCACTGACTAATTTGAGTATACCTCATAGTCTTCGTGATTATTCAATGAGTGATCTAAGATCTGCGTACCGCCCCGTGCGGTTAGTGATTACTCTGAGATTAGATAGTGCCAAGTAGTATACGTACCGATATGTTTGCTTCTTCAATCAACTCGATATTTACTTCATACATGCACAAACTCCTACATAACCACAACAACAGAATGTTAGACGTTAACAGCGGCAGCGAAGGAATAGCAGAAAGTTGGAAATGTGCTGTTAAAAGCGTGAGTGACATAAAAATTTTCTGTAAAAAATCACACCAAAAATATGTTCGATGTTAAAATATGCTTGTGATGTCAGTAAACCAAATTATTAATTGTGATATTGATTTCATAAATTTCGTACACATAAGTATACATGCATATGTAGTTCGAATTGATGGATGATTCACTTTAGTACTTTGAAGTTTAACATCCATGAAATAATAGAATTACCAACCACTTTTGACGTGATGGCAACAAGGCTATGCTAACATGAAAGTGTGGAAGAACTTCTTTGAAAACTGGAGGAAGTTAATTTGCGGCTGAAATTCATTAAGTTCTCTCTTAAACAAATTAAAGCATATTGTCGTAACACAGATAACAGAGACAAAAGTAAAAGTTTACCTCTAATATAAATACAAACGGGGAAATAATAAGCCTCTGTTGGAGCGTTATTTATTAAAATATATTATAAAATATATGAATTATATAAAATATAAAAATTATAATCAAACATAAACATGGGATGTCCACACTCACCAAAATCTGCATTATCCTTCCATGCACTCTACCACTTGAAAAGTTAAGTTTAGCTCTGTTAAAAATGCAGTAACGATAAGCAACTTAATTACATTAAAGGATTTAAAGTCACTAATCTGAAATTATAAATAAATCCCACACATATCTCGTTTGTCAACAAACTTCATATGATAAAGTTTTATTTTCCTGCAAGTGCCACTTTATCAAAATCATCCGGAATGTGACTAGAAAAAGTTTTGTTTAGGCATAATCTACTCAGTATTAAGTCTCAACTGCTTTGTGCTTTATTCCTTTAATCGGTCGGGTATTAACTTGTCATTATTGACTGCACTAGCTACAAACACAAAATTTTGGATCATCATCATTGCAATGCTGTCCTTTATTCTACTACTATATTTAATGAATATCTGTTATTTGTAAAACGTAGGCGTCTCACTCTCTGCTATAATCTGTACACTGATTTTTAATTTCGTCTTAACTTCTAGTTCTCTTTGACATCA